AAATACAATTAAATTATTTGCAGTCCCTTGAATGTATTATTTTGCATGATACAGAGAGAGCATATAAAAGATGTTCAGTTCAGTTTTACCTCTTTTTATCTCTGCACAATTCTATATCTTCAAAAGAAAATACAGGATTAATCCACATATAAAAGACATATTTAGACTATATTTAGTTAAATGGGAATGTATTTACTTACTTTCTTTGTTGCTGGTGAGTTCAAATGCATCCCTTTTCAAATTGGAAAAAAGCCATGACTCCACATTCAACAGAGATAGTGATGTGTCAAACATTGATAAACAGCATCTGGTGTGTGTATAGTACCTATACAATTTGTATAAATGTTGCAAGAAATGCTGCTTTTCTCCTTAAACGACATGTGCCCTGATGCTCACTTTAAGCATGGATATTTTTGTATAGGACCAATGGCATCAGACCAATAAAACTTAAGGGCAACAGTGTCCCTACCAAAGTTGAAATCAAACCTACACCCTTGGTTTTGTCAGAACCTTCAGTACTGAGACAGGAAAAGCCAGCTTGTTTAATTTGGACTTTTTATTGTCCAAAGTATGAAGATAATTGGGTCCAGAGGCCTGGATGACTGCAGCTTGGCTTACAGACCAACCCAGTCTCATGGGAAAACGTACCCCCACTACGTTGGTCCACACTGCAAAACGTAGTGGAGGTACATTAATGGCCATTTTTTTGTGGTACTGTTACGTTTCTTCTGCCTATACGCTTTCTATTGTTTTACGTCCTAGTCACGTGACTTTCAAGATTCCAGCTGGGAGAAGAAAAAAAATAAATATATGGCCGACATTCGCTCATTTTTTGTGGAAAGATTAATGACTTGAGTTTGTTTTTGCATTAAAATGAGTTTTGATTACATTTCTAGTGAGAAATGTATAGTTTGTTGCCAGAATATTTACTCAGGGAATGTACATATTCACTTGCTTGTTCGTTTCTTGCAAAGATTTTTCAAGATAATGTGAAACTGTAACATTTTGGTATAAACATGGCTGAGATTTCTCTAACTTTTAGTGGGAAAATCAATAATTTCAATCAGTTTCTGCATTTAAATGGGTTTTGATCACATTTATAGCGAGAAGTGTAGGGTTTATTTACATAATATTTACTTCGTGAACATACATAATCACCCGCTTGCTAGTTTTTGCTACGGTTTTTCGGATCTCGTCAGGATTATGTGAAATTGCAACGTTTTGGCTGCTAGCCATCGCCTAGCATTTAGCTGCCGCCCCGATTAAACATTGAATTCTTTGTGATTTAACTCCATCTGACGGATCAAACCCTCGCCACTGCGTGCGTTGCGTCTGAGGTTGATTTTCAGATCAATGCATTACGTCGTGGCATACGGGAGAAACTAATTAAACTAGTTAAAAAAAAGGATCATGGGTTAAGATCGGATGTGTTTTATTTGGAAATCTACCGGATCCTTTGTGCATTTCACTTCCTGTTTGGTGCGATCTCATTGATGGGTTTTGACCAAAGAGGAAATAAAAAAATAAAAAACAATTTAAATACACAACCAGCATATCTGGAATCAATGACAGAGAGCATACATAATCACCCGCTTGCTAGTTTTTGTTATGGTTTTTCGGATCTCGTCAGGATTATGTGAAATTGCAACGTTTTGGCTGCTAGCCATCGCCTAGCATTTAGCTGCCGCCCCGATTCAACATTGAATTCTTTGCGATTTAACTCCATCTGACGGATCAAACCCTCGCCACTGCGTGCGTTGCGTCTGAGGTTGATTTTCAGATCAATGCATTACGTCGTGGCACACGGGAGAAACTAATTAAACTAGTTAAAAAAAGGATCATGGGTTAAGATCGGATGTGTTTAATTTGGAAATCTACCGGATCCTTTGTGCATTTCACTTCCTGTTTGGTGCGATCTCATTGATGGGTTTTGACCAAAGAGGAACTAAAAAAAAAAAAAAAAAAATTTGAATACACAACCAGCATATCTGGAATCAGTGACAGAGAGCGACTGGGACCAGAAGTTTATTAATCTCTCCCCACTGATTTCCATTCAAAATGTTTTCGATCCCACCGGGCTCTAGGGAAGTGGCGGGCATACCGCCACCTACTGTTCATGAGTGTGTAGCAACATTGTTTTACATCTATTAAATTCTATTTTTTAATTTTGTATTCTGAAGATAAATAAATAATGCTTTCCTTAATCTATAAATATCTTTTATATTTCCTTTATTTCCCAATAATCCTTTAAGACTCCATTCTTGGCCTGTCCTCTTTTCAATTTCTTCCTTTCAGGTTCATATGTTTTGCAGTTCATCAATACATCTGCATTTTCTATCTCTCCACATCCTTCACATTTATCATTATTTTTCCTCCCTATTAAGTATAAATTGTCATTTAAATAAGTATGACCTACTCTTAATCTGATCATTATTATTTCTTCCCTTCGGTTTCTCTCATTAATATTTCTATTTAATACTGACTTTTGTACTTTATATAACCTTCTTCCTTTTTATCTTCATTCCACCTTTTTTTTGCCATTTTTCAATTTCTTTCCTCTTAATAAATGATTTTCCTTTCCCTAAAGGAATTGTAATTGTTATTGCCTCCTCTAATTGCTAATTTGTCTACTACTACTACATTTTCCCACTTTGACCTTTTAAGGTTAGCATATTGATCAAAAGCTGACACCAAAAATAAAGCAATCGATTATGTACAACAATATTCTACATTTAATGAAGACTAATACAGATTTTACTCTCTTATAAGAATTAGTTTCAGGTTTTATAGGGGAGAGTTTGTATCGGCAGTCATCTGGGAATCTTTTATGTATTTACTGGTAAAGAACAACCTCTCAACCCATTTAATGTAAATGTTGCGTCGAACCAGAAAGTTATTTGAAGAGCATAGATGCATAAATATGTGCATAGCTTTAACAAGGGCCTCATGAAGGTCTGTTCTGTTATTCTCTTTTGGAGAATATAGACATTGTGGGCATTCATTTCCCTGATAAGCTGGTGAAGATTCTTAGACATCCAGGTCATAATCATTCCAAAAAAAAACAAAAAACTTTGGACTTTGTTTTTCAAGTTTGAAGACTTCCCATTCAGGACGTTTTTCAATTCAAAATTACAGTAGCCCAACAAATCCTTGTTTTGGCTAAGAAAATATGCAAATTGAACCTGATGCCTGATCCCAATAGCTTGACTCTGAACCGAATTTGATCCCTATTACTTTTTGGCCACATGCACATTATTGTGCTGCCTGGTCAACCCTAAGAAAATGTTCTGGAACTGCCACTGAACTGACACCCAATGCATGGAGGGTAACCCAAAAAGGGCCATGGTTAGAGAAACTGGGTGCCTACAAAGTGCTGTTTTCAAGCTAATTAATGGAAAGTTAGCTGGAATGAAAAGTAGACAAATAACAATTACAATTCCTTTAGGGAAAGGGGAAGGAAAATCATTTATTAAGAGGAAAGAAATTGAAAAATGGCAAAAAAAAGGTGGAATGAAGATAAAAAGGAAGAAGGTTATATAAAGTACAAAAGTCAGTATTAAATAGAAATATTAATGAGAGAAACCGAAGGGAAGAAATAATAATGATCAGATTAAGAGTAGGTCATACTTATTTAAATGACAATTTATACTTAATAGGGAGGAAAAATAATGATAAATGTGAAGGATGTGGAGAGATAGAAAATGTAGAACATGTATTGATGAACTGCAAAACATCTGGACCTGAAAGGAAGAAATTGAAAAGAGTTGAAAGGACAGGCCAAGAATGGAGTCTTAAAGGATTATTGGGAAATAGAGGAAATATAAAAGATATTTATAGATTAAGGAAAGCATTATTTATTTATCTTCAGAATACAAAATTAAAAAATAGAATTTAATAGATGTAAAACAATGTTGCTACACACTCATGAACAGTAGGTGGCGGTATGCCCGCCACTTCCCTAGAGCCCGGTGGGAGCGAAAATATTTTGAATGGAAATCAGTGGGGAGAAATTAATAAACTTCTGGTCCCAGTCGCTCTCTGTCACTGATTCCAGATATGCTGGTTGTGTATTCAAATTGTTAGTTTTTTTTTTAGTTCCTCTTTGGTCAAAATCTGGTCAAAACCCATCAATGAGATCGCACCAAACAGGAAGTTAAATGCACAAAGGATCCGGTAGATTTCCAAATAAAACACATCCGATCTTAACCCATGATCCTTTTTTTAAACTAGTTTAATTAGTTTCTCCCGTATGCCACGACGTAATGCATTGATCTGAAAATCCACCTCAGACGCAACGCCGCAGTGGCGAGGGTTTGATCCGTCAGATGGAGTTAAATCACAAAGAATTCAATGTTGAATCGGGGCGGCAGCTAAATGCTAGGCGATGGCTAGCAGCCTAAACGTTGCAATTTCACATAATCCTGACGAGATCCGAAAAACCGTAATCAAATGTAATCAAAACTCATTTTAATGCAAAAACAAACTCAAGTCATTAATCTTTCCACAAAACAATGAGCGAATGTCGGCCATATATTTATTTTTTTTCTTCTCCCAGCTGGAATCTTGAAAGTCACGTGACTAGGACGTAAAACAATAGAAAGGGTATAGGTAGAAGAAACGTAACAGTACCACAAAAAAATGGCCATTAATGTACCTCCACTACGTTTTGCAGTGTGGACCAATGTAGTGGGGGTACATTTTCCCATGAGACTGGGTTGTACAGACATGAGACAAGGTTCCTCAGTCATCAGCTAGCTTTATACATTGTTGACAGCTGACAAACAGCACAGGTTGCATCATGTTGTCTGCTCTGATTCTGCTCTCTCAGTTTGGTTCTCACACAATGGACCAGACAACATATGCAGCAGGTCACAGAGTCCAAATGACCCAGACCCAGTTCTTCCAGCAGAATGTCAGAGTGGAATGTGATCTGATTTATTACTATGTCCATGTTTCCCTGCTGAAAGACACTGATGATCTGAACCCTCTCATCCTTTCAGGGAGCCTGATGGAGTCCGATGGTTGAAACCAGGTCTGAGGAAGTGTAAGTATGTTTTTCATTGGATCCATGACAACAAAGCAGATCCCATGCAACCATCTTAAAACTGTTTATCATTCATTCAGGAGTCATGTGTGTTAATAAATTATCAAAAGTTGCAGCTGGATTGTGTTTGTTCTCTCCATCAGATTACTGTCAGCTCACAATCGACAAAAACACAATGAACAGACACCTGAAACTGTCTGAAGACAACAGGAAGGTGACAAAGATGGATGAGCCTCAGTTATATCCTGACCATCAAGACAGATTTGATTACTGGGAGCAGCTGCTGTGTAGTGATGGTCTTACTGGTCGCTGTTACTGGGAGGTCAAGTGGAAAGGAAGAGTTAATATATCAGTGAGTTACAGAAGAATCCGGAGGAAAGGAAACATTATGGACTGTGGGTTTGGAATGAATGCTCATTCCTGGAGTCTGAGATGTTTTGATGATAAAGGTTATTCTGTCTGTCATGATAAGGAGGAAACATCCCTCATCTCCTCCTCCTTTTCCTCCGCCTCCTCCTCTGTCTCTAACAGAGTAGCAGTGTATGTGGACTGTCCTGCTGGCATTCTATCCTTCTACAGAGTCTCCTCTGACTCACTGATCCACCTCTTCACCTTCAACACCACATTCACTGAACCACTTTATCCTGGATTCTTCCTCTGGCCTGGTTCTGGTTCTGGTTCCTCTGTGTTTCTGTGTTGAGTCTAAAGAGTCTCCTCCTGTCAGAGAAACTCTCTCACTGTTGAACATATAGTTTGCTCTCTACATGTCTGCCTCTTTCACTTAAAATCATTTTCTCATTCTGTCAGTTTCCTTTCTGAAACTCCTGAAAGAGATTGTGTGTAAACTTCATCATCTTCTAGTCATTTAAATGGGTCATAGAATGATTCTATAAGGTATTAGGTGCTGGTGCTTAAGGTCTTTGAATAGGGTGTGTAACATCGCCGGGTCTGCGGACGGAGGCAGGGAGCCATAGGGGAGCAGCCGAAGCCAACCCGATGAAGGTAGCCGGCGGCCCCATGCAGTCGACACTTCATACCCATGCCTTTAGGGTCGGAACAGCCCCTTGTTTCAGTAAAAGAAGTTTAGTAAATCCTGCTTTGATCTGTCCAACATTTTGAAATCTGTCTTTAGTAAAATGTTTAGAGCAAATGAACAGTTGACCATCAAACTTTGCAGGGATCTTCTAATAGGGCTCGGGATCCACGTTGCATTGTGGGACGTCGCAGCCATATTGACTGCTACGCAAACGTAAACATAGCTCTGATACAATGTTGTTGAATGAAGAGACGTAGAAGTAGAGAGAAAAAAGATGTTTAAAATCCAGAAAAGGATCTGGAAATTTACCGGGACACATTAAATAGAGAAGCCACGGACCGGTATGTTGACAAAATCAGCATTATTAATCATTTGGATCCATATGAAGTTCCAAACAATGAGTGGGAAGCACCGATGAGTGCGCGCCTATACTTCAGACAGTTTCGAAGCTACAAATCCTTGGAGTTCTCATTATTATTATCTCTTTATTATTTTCCCGTAAAAGATCCAACTTTGAAGGAAAGAAACAAAGTAGGCTATAAAATAAAACCGTGCATCTTTAACTTACCAGAATGAAAATGCAGGGAACACACTCTCATTGACATTGGAATACTGTGGAAAGTTTGTGTTCGTCGTCTTACAGCCGGATCCAAAAGGGGT